ATGTACACTGGTACAGACAGGAACTGGAAACACAGGGAATCCAGGACAGATGATCCCTTCAGGACCAGTGGTGAGAGTGGAAATACTGGGAGGGTGGTGGGGTAGAAAGGGGGAACCAATCTACATATAACCTCCTCCCCGGGGGATGGACAACAGAAAAGTGGGTGAAGGGAGACGTTGGACAGTGTAAGATATTTAATTTATAAATTATCAAGGGTTCATGAGGGAGGAGGGAATGGGGAAGGAGGGGGAAAATGAGGAGCTGATGCCAGAGGCTTACGTGTAGAGCAAATGTTTTGAGGATGAGGGTAATGAATGTACAAATGTGCTTTATACAGTTGATGTATGTATGGATTGTGATAAGAGTTGTAGTAAGTACAGTAACTCCAAGTAAAATCCTAGCAATTTTAATCTAATTCCACCTTTACTTAATTTCTATAAAGTGGAGGTTGCGATCATTCCCTAACGATGTATGAATCCTGAAATATGATGCACAAACTTACAATTAAAGCATTTGTTAAACTATTAATACAATGCAAACAGCTAACTATATTGTTCCAATGAACAATTCATGCCTATTTATCTCAATATACTTTAAGAAATAAAATTTCATTGCTAAGAAATAAAGTTGTATGGAAAAATTATAACTAAGACTTAATATTTAACTATACTTGTAAAGTAGCCCTGGTAATTTAGTTGAATTGTGTGCTGGGCTGCTAACAGCAAAGGTTGGTGGTTCAAACCAACCAGCCACTCCACCGAGAAATCAGGCTTTCTGCTCCCGTAAAGATTTACAGCCTTGGTAAGCTACAGGGGCAATTCTACTCTACCCGACACGAGTCGCTCTGAGTCAGAATTAACTTGATGGCAGAGGGTATACTTGGAAAAAAAAAACACTTGAAAAATAGTTGGTGTTAACAGTAATGAAAAGAAATTCTCAGCAAGTCTGTCACACATTTAGAATATTTACTCAGTAATTTTCTGGGTAAAGTCTAAAAGCAGTTACACTATCAATTTCTTAGGTCAATTGAACTAACCCCATTTTTAAAACACTTCTGTTTCTGAAGCCACTAGTATTCTTTGCACCAAACAAATATTCAAATTCATCCCACAGCAAGGACAAGTAATAAAGTGAAATAATGGGGTGGGGTGCAGTGTTATAAATTGCTGCAACTTAAAATACATAACAAATATACTAAGTTTGTTTGGCAGAACTCCTAAGTCTTAAAGCCCACTTAAAGAAAAGACCAAAACCCACACTTGTTGTTGCCGAGTCCGTAACGACTCAAGGCGACCCTGCAGGACAAGGCAGACCACCCGAGGGTTCCGAGACGGTAACTCTCTATGAATAGAAAGAAAGCCCTGTCTTTCTCCTGAGGAGTGTTGGTCGGTGGTTTAAAATCGCTATTCCTGCAACCCACACCCCAACGAGAAACCACTATGCCACCCAAAGCCAATTTAATTGGGTTAAATTAGAGCCAGACCCAAAAGACCACTTGGTTAGCTACATGTCATATGCCACTGTCCCTTACATATGATTTTATTTTACATTTATAACCTGTTCCTGGTTAAGGAAGATTGGTGGTTATTTTTCAACTTTATCTTCTACTCCTGCTTTTAACTTTTTGTAAGTTTTTACCAAGAACACACTTAGTTATTTAATCTACAAAACATGAATTATTGGTAGGGTCAAAAATAGAATAGCTTTTTCCTATCCTTCTTGTGCTCTCAAGCAGGTGCGTGGTCTCTAAATAAGAGAGGTACAAATTGTAAGACATGAATTCTGCTCTGGAGGGATGGAAAAGAATGGTTAGTGAATCGTTTCTTACCTCTTTAGATTTGGAACTTCTACCAGTGGTACTTTTAGAATTCTTACTGTTTTGCCCAACCACAGTCTAAAATATTAAATAAGGAAGGGGGAAAAAACAATAGAAATTACAGCCTGGTTATTAGTATCCTTAAATCAAACTCACAAAACTCAAACAGGAAATAATATTTAACCACATTCAACGAAGCAATAATTAACAAGTATATAGAGCTGAACAGTATAGGCATATTCTCTAATAGTTGAAGTTAAACTCCATTTTATTTATTTCCCTCTCTTGACAATGGCCACATGCCTTAACTGGGTAATCAGTGCACGGAAAATTCAACTTAAATAAGAAAAGAAGCAGAAGCAGAACACTAAATCACATTAGGACATCCATTACGGGCATTTTAAACCACAAAGCTTGATTTCTGACCAAATTATGTTCAAATAATGCTTTTCAAACCTGCTAATTATGAACTTGAGCTCAATATTCTAAAGTGTCTATTAGCTTAAGGCAATGGAATCTTATTAAGAGAACGGGGAGGTTGGGCACGGGTGGTGGAGTGAGGAGATGAAGGGTGAAATAAGAGTGTATCTCTGACTCATTTAAGCAGCAGGGCTCCACACTTCAACAACATATCGAGCCAGTCTTCCTACCCTCCTCACCTTGGTGTTGCTGTCATCCCGTTTCATGAAGGAGGTTCTAGCCTCTGTTTCCTGAGATGGTTTTGTTAGCTCCCTGTGATCCAGTTTAGAATCCTTGCCTTGCAGGGCTGATATCCTTCCACTTCCACCTCTGGTAACACCACTTGGTGTGAGTTTGGATTTACTGCTGCTGCTTTCTGCCAAGTATGACCCAGCACTTGTAGGTTTAAGTAAATCAGACTCCTTGGCTGCAAGTTTCTTTTCAGCATTTACTTGATCTCTGAAGACAGATCTTAGCAAACTTTTCTGATTTTCAGATTTTGAAACTGTAACTTTTGCCTTTGAAGAGATAATAGTGGCCTTGCCGGGTGACTTACTGCTAGACACATTTGGTGCAGTACTAGCTTCATCAGGCTTCCTGGGTTGACTCCCTCCTCTATGTGGGTTTGCCTTGGTAACAATGTTCTCTGCAGGCTTTTGTTTTATTATGGACGCAATCTTGTCCACCTTGTCTGCAATCACCCTAGGGTCATTCTTTTCTTTCTTCCCTGTCTCTACCACTGTAGTTTCTTTAGTATTGAAGTCATTCTCCTCCTTTTCACCAATACTTTCCCCAGAAACTCCCCTGTTGCTCATTGCATTCTCATCCCCAGTAGAAATGTCAGGTACCAAGGACACAGCACAAGCAGGTGGCACAGTTTCAGAAACAGATGCATGTTGGTCCACCTCAGCTACAGCTTCTACCACACACTCTGGAATTCTAGAAAAGAAGTCTTCTCCTTCAGATGGAGATTCTTCTAGAATTCCTTTGATGTTTCTTTCTTCGATAAACGCACTGTCAGATGATGATAGTTCTGTTTCAGGGTTATCAATATCTGCCTCTTCATTCTCAAAATCAGTGGCATACACCTGCTGATTTAAATCAGTCTCTTCTCCATTCTCAGGAGATAATTCAATACTGCCTGGAGTGGCTACTACCAGGGGAATTTCCACTTTGATTTCCTCTCCGGGAGACTCAACTTCCATGGTTTCAATAAAGTCAGACTCGCACAGGGCCTTTCCAAGTTTCTCCTCACAAGGTTCTTCCTCTTGAACAGAAGGTTCTGTTTCAAAGTTGCGGGTTGATTCTTCTTCAACCTCACTAGGTTTAACAGAGGGACTATCAGCTTCTGTTTGCACCCCACTCTCATCAACTGGACTGTTTTTCAAGTCAGGGCTAAAAGTATTTAAAAACAAAACAAAACACAAACAAAATTTAAACTATGATGAGAATCCAACCACTATAAATAATCCTGTTGATACCAATTGTTAAAAGACTCCGCCCCCCCCCCCCCCCCCCCAAAAAAAAGAAGACTTCCCGAAGCATTAGTAAAAAGCATTGGGAAATCCAGCCAAATAGCAATAAAACGGTTAAGGTGTTTTGACATAAATATATAAGCAAAATAAAATTTTATGAGACTGTTGTACTGAAGGTGTCTTCATAGCTCAAAGAAAATCATGGCATTAATATGGCAGTCAGTACGATCATATGTATTAAAAACAACTCCCCACCCACCTCGATCAAATTTTCCCCTGACATTAGAACCCTACAAGGGGACTTCAAAAAGTTCCTGGAAAACAGAATTTAAAAGACAATAGAGTTTTTCCATGAACTTTTGAAGGCTTTTCATGTTCATAATGATAGAGAACACTTAGAAGAAAGTTTTCTTTAGAATTATCCTTTACATATTCTCTTGGAGACGTAAACTTAAAGGAGAAAGAACAAAAATATATATAACCATTTAATAAAATGTACGTTCCTTTGGCTACAATATAAGATTTATGTTCAAATAATTCTCCCAGTTACAGGGATTAACTGAAAATTCCAATACACAGCTTAAACATTTAGGTAAAATCATTCAAAAAACATGAAGAAAACAAACAACAAATACATGAGATCAATCTTATTACATAGTGTTCTTCTGAATCCAAAGTAAACAAAATGTGATTTGTAATTCAACTGCCTCACTGAGACATAAAAAACTACTTTTTTACATTAATAGTGCATCCACAGGTCAGATATTGTCTTGAAATATTACAAGAAATTTCTTAAGATTCCAAAGACAGTGGCCAGCATGTTATCAACAATAGTAAAAGGCTAACAAATATATGTACAAAATTACTTAGAAGAAACAGGTTGGAGTGAGACAGCTGAGAGTAATCATTCCAGATTACCACCTCAAAGTAAAGCGTCCTTTTTTCCTCCTCTCTTCAAGGAAGGGAAAAGATGAACTATTGATAGTAACTGATGTTATTTTAATTATCTATTGCACATACGGTCACTGGGAGTCAGAAGTGAAGGCAACTAGCAACAGTATTTTTCAAAAGGTGTCATACAATCCTTTAACAATGTCCTACGATGTGTATCTATGTTGAGATGTTTTACTTTCAGAATCTCAGAAAAGTTAAGTGCCTACCATCACCATGGTCTAAATCATTTGAGGAAATAAAAATTGGTTCCCTCCCACCAAGATGGGAAGTCTATGCTTCTAAAACAGAAAAAAAATTCCGGTGATCAGAGGAAGCACCCTTTTAAAGGTAGAGTTTGAGAAATTAAGCTGAGTAAGAACTAGTCTTTAACCAATATGTAACGTGATTCATTTGTACAACCATAGCTTCCCTTTGTATGTAAAAACATTTTAAAGGTTCCTGTTTGAAGTAATTCACATTTCATATACTGTATTAAGATACCACAGGTTGATTTTTAAGTGCTCCAACTTCTTAGGACCAGCCAAAATTAAATCTGTGGCCAAGCATTAAATATAACAAAGACAAGAAAAAACTGTGACATGAAAACTTTTACCAGATGTGTGAACACTATCTCTCACAACATGTGTGATTGGGCTAGAATAACAATGGAAATTGTTATTATTCAGAGATCAGATAGTTCTTCCCCTTTTACCATGAAGACTATCTCCACTCCAGAAAACAAAACACCCAACACGTGATTTATTATCATCAGTATAAAATGAATCACAATGTCATGAAACAAAATGTGTATATAAACTGTTATTAGAAAACTTGTCTCTAATAAAAAAATTTAAAAAAAAGAAAACTTGTTTCTGTGTAAAGTATCACCAAACTGCAACAAAAAGAAAGTTCAAAATACATACATAGATATACACATGCACAAAATGAATCAGTAGAGTGCTACACTTCAGAGAACATAGACCTACTTGGAAAAATAGTTATAGTAATTCAATTTGTTGTTATGTGTAAAGAATCCTCAAAAAGTACAGTACTTTATTCATGGATGGGAGAAAGACAAGGCAATCTACTCCAATCAAGAATTAGTGTCTCAGAAACCCACAAAGGTAAGTTTGTAGGGTTGCTATGAGTCAGAATTCACTAGGTGGGAGTAAGTTTGGTGGTGTTTTTTTTTTGTTTTTGGGGTGGTGTCTATTGGTTTGTTTTTCTTCATAGACATCATTTACCAAAAATTGGTATCTTGTTTTTCTGGCTAATATAACGAAAAGGTTCACAAGTGACCAAGTAAGCTTGGGAAGTCAGTTTGAGATGTCAATCTAAGTTGACGTTAACACCATAATCTGGAAATGGGGATAAAAACGGATTCCCAGTAAGGAATTTTGTATACAGAAATGCAACTTTAATAAAAGAAGAAAGTCTACAGTAGTGGTTCTCAACCTTCCTAATGCCAAGACCCTTTAATAGAGTTCCTCATGTTGGGGTGATCCCCCAACTATAAAATTATTTTCGTTGCTACTTCATCACTGTAATTTTGCTACTGTTATAAATTGGGCGACCCCTGTGAAAGGGTCGATCGACCCCCCCCAAAGGGGTCTCGACCCATGGGTCGAGAACTGCTGATATATAGTATTCCATTATTCTTATTACAGTAACATTAAATCTGTAATCTCTCGGGGTGCATATGTCTAACCCCCATATCAGTTTCACATTTTTCAGAAGCAATATAAAATAAAAATTGGTTTTAGGAACAAAAGTTAACATCATACCACATACAATCCTCCTGAGATATTTTACTTGAACAACATTGGAGGCTGTTTATTCTACAAGGCCACCAAGCACTTTCTATTATTAGTGAACTGCTAAAAATCTCATCTACCATTCTTATTTGGACCCTTAAATATCTGATAAGATAAATCCTGTTCACTTGAGTGTTCATGGGGGAAGAGTGTTACAAGCTAAACATGGGTTATTGAATGATCAATAATTTATCCCTCACTTATCTATTGGCTTGTCTTCTGACATTTTGAATTTAAGTAATAATAATAAAATATCTACTAGCCAATTATTCTATGTTTTAGGGCCATATGTCTGGCAATAATGAACACTAAAGAACCTCACTGAGGTCCCTGATAATGAACTCAGTGTACATGTTTCTAGCAAGCTCATACTGCATAAAATTTCACCTGGGAGGAAAGGGGATCATGATCATGGTCTCTGAGTCACTTTGAAGACAGGACACTTGGCAGTTCCCAAGGACCCACCAAGGGTTGAGGTCAGGGCATCAGCAGCCAGTGTTCTAAAGGTGAACTATCTATGGGCTGGGGGAAAAGCAGGACCCTGGGGTCTGACTTAAGGTCTGAGGTCTGTGGGGCACTAGGAATAGACTGGGTTGTGATTACAAAAGTTCCTGAAATAGATTAATTAGGGCCTCATGTCACCTCACATTAGTTGACTAGTACTGCTGCAGCCTGTCACAATTGCTTCATACCCCTTCTAGGACAGGAAGCTATAGTTTGTCATTTCTCAATGAGATACTGACAGAGTGGGAAGTAGGCAGGGCCATTCAATGAAAGTCTGAGGTTTCTCCAGCAAGGAGCCTTTCAGTGGGCTTTGTAGGCAGTTTACCTTCCTCACGCTTATTGCACCTAGGTTCTCCTGCCTGCCAAAGGGGAGGCTCTAGTTCCCAACAAAGGCACTAACAGAATTATGGAGTTGATGAAGAGACAAGTCAAGGCTGCTTATCCTGAAACTAGGGAAAGGGCAAGAGAGGGATGGGAGGAGGGTGGAAATTGGGTCAACTTGGCTTTGAATGATGGGCAATGCTCCCATCTGGACAGCAGTGGGGACTGAGAACTCCTGACCCTACGTGGGAATGGGGTAGCATTGTCACTCAGGTGACCTCAGCAGAGGCCTAGTGGGATAGCCACAGTACAAGTAAGGAGGTGAAGTGATGTGGCCATTTTCTATTTTTTCATAATGCCATCTCTTACTCTTAAGTACTTGGACTTTGCAACCTAAACAAATCAGTAAGGGAAGAGCAGTGTACCTATATGATTTAAAGTAGAAAACCGATTTAAATTGTTTATATTTTAACCAAAAGGATCATATTTACAATGCAGTAATACATGAAAGTGATTTAAAAAAAAGACACACATATTTTTTCAAGATCTGTTTATCCCAAAAGAAATGTGAAATATCTTGACCATAACCCACCATCTTTCCCCACTAATGTCATATAACTCAGGGGGAGGGGGGAAAGCATATAAATTAGAAATGACTACTTCTAGAAAATTTCAATTTTATATGATTCGAAAACTACCTTCAAACTCATTAAGAAATGTCTTTTTCAGAATCATCCCTGGTGGAACCGTGGTTGCTAATCACAAAATAGGTGGTTCAAACCCACCAGTTGCTCCTAAGAAGAAAGATGAGATTCTCTGCTCCCATTAAGATTTACTACCTCAGTACACTGGTACAGATAGGAACTGAAAATACAGGGATTCCAGGACGGATGAGCCCTATAGGACCAGTGGTGTGAGTGACAAAACAGGGAGGGTAAAGGGAGAATGGGTAGGAAAGAGGGAACCGATTACATGGAGCTGTGTGTGACCTTCTCCCTGGGGGACAGACAACCGAAAAGTGGGTAAAATGAGAACCTAATGTTGGGGGTTTAAGTGCAGAGAAAATGTTTTGAGAAACGATGTACAAATGCGCTTTACACAATTGATGTGTGTATGGATTGGGATAAGTTGTATGAGTCCCTAATAAAATGTTAAAAAAAAAAAGATTTACTACCTATGAGTCAGGATTGACTTGATGCCAGTGGGTAGGTTTTCATTTTAGGAGAAAATATTAACTAGTAAAGGGGGGTGACTAAAGTATAGGTAAGCTATCCTTATAAACCTGAAAAGAAATCTTATCAAATGAAATTTATACCAAGGATTTTTTTGGGAAAGCCTGTTACCAGTAACCGTTACTGCGGTGAAACCCCAGGTCTATGCTACCCATGACATCATTATGTAGTAATTAAGGCCTTTGTGGGATTTTGTCCCAAACAGTGCTAGTGGTATTACTTTTGAAACAGGTGAATATAATTGTATAATGATGTTTAATTTGGAAAAGTTTCTTGATACACACAGCCAACTTGCTGCTTAAAGTTACCAATATATTTTAATGCTTTCATAGCCAGCTTTAGCATGTAAATCCATCTTATTAGTTAGAAATCACTGAAAGAAAACTCCGTAAGACTGTTTTCAGTAATCCTAAAATTAAGATAATGCAGCAAATAAGCATTTTCTTTATTAGATTGCTTCAAAGCCTCAAGCCCCGATGAAAGAGACATTAAGAAATATGGTTGAATCACAGTATAACGAAGGGGAAAAAACCAATCTCAATCATTGAAGAGCAGTGTAGATTGGTGGGGGGAAGGAGCAGTTACATGTAGCCAAACAAGTTTCTAAGCCATTAGTTTTAGACTTTAACAAATAATCCTCTTAAAATACAAAGTAACATATGTAATTCTTTTAATGCTAACTCTTTCACTTCACTACAGTTGATTTTTTAATTATTAAAATAGACATTAAACAGTAAGCTAAAATTCCCTGAAAGGAAGTTAACTCCTGTTTTTCTAAGCAGAGATAGAAAATATAAACTAAAGGTTCTTGCTCGCTTGCTGACCTAATTTTAAATTTCTCTAATTCAATGCACTGAGGGGTAACAAACCAGTTAAAACATTTTTAGAAAAAGACATTTTTATATTAGCAACAAAACAAAAATCAAAGTCCTGGTTACACATTTAATTGAAAGGACTTATACAATGTCTTCCTTAATAAGTAGTAAATGCGTGAATGAGATGTAAAGTACCCTGTAACAGGTTCATGCATATACAGAATGAACAAACACGTGAGATAGGAACTTTTCACTGCACACTTAAAAGCAACATACCTTTCTTTTCCTTGTTCCGAGTCTTTCCCACCTTGAGCCTGTAATGTAATTCCACATTTTATTAAAGGCTATTATAATGGACTTAAAATATTTAACGCATCAATGTGATCTTTTCAGCTCTTAAAAGATAAGCTAAAAATAAGGATACATCTTAAAAGTAGATTAAAAGACTTTTTTATTGTAGACATAGATGATTAGTTTCTATAGCTTATCCAAATAGATGAAGTCTAATGTAGGTTGTGCAGAGTAATTGCCATACAGTAATTAATGAGAAATACTTTTATTTAATGTTGATATAAATAAAAATACCTTTTTAAAAAGTTAAAAGCTGGGAAAATAGCACCTTTAGCTTGAAGAACATTTTAAAAACCTTTGTTTATAAAGAGAAGCCAATAAGCCTAAAAAGTGCTCCACTCAAAATATCTAGATGCACCAAAGCAGAAAACAAATCCTTTTAAATGTATTATGTGAAGTCCCAAGAAAGCTATGTCCCAGGGCCCAAATGCTCTATTATTAAACACTGTTCAATGCACAGGGGAAAGCCAATTGAGTAGAACTCTCCCAAAGTGATGTCCTAATAGAGCTTATACATACTAAATTTAGCCGGAGGATTTTGCTGAGAATTTTATTTCTGGGTTGAGAATTGTCATTCTAGAAAGGTTCTGCCTGATTGAAAGTTGTGAGTTGTACAACCCAAATGAGTATTATACCGAGAGTAAATTCCTGGGGTGGGCGATGTGTATCTTCTCTACTAAAACATGAGCTCCTGTTAAGGACTGGGCCACAAACGCCTCTGTTTATCATTATATCCCCCAATGTGTAAAATATTGACATAAAAACAGAATCAGAACAATACTGGTTTAATATATTAATGAACGAATGCCACAGCTGTCAGGACAAAACACAACAACAAAGAATTCTTTCGATCAGACTTCTCAGCAATAGTTGTTAAGAAAAATAATCCGAGCCTATCAATGAAGTATATATGAGCAAAATGGTTATTTTGTTAAAAGTGCAAGGATTCAAGTTAACTATAGGACTAGAACTAAAAAAAAATTACATGTGAAAGTAGCACTACCTCCCCACCAATTTGGATCGCTTGTTGTTCCCTTGTCCCTGGGCAGGACGGATGAGCCCTATAGGACCAGTGATGTGAGTGGCAAAACAGAGAGGGTAAAGGGAGAATGGGTAGGAAAGAGGGAACCGATTACATGGAACTGTGTGTGACCTCCTCCCTGGGGGACAGACAACCGAAAAGTGGATGAAGGGAGACGTCGGACAGGGCAAGATATGACAAAATACCCATTTATAAACTATCAAGGGCTCATGTGGGAGGGGGGAGCGGGGAGGGAGGGTTTAAGTGGAGAGAAAATGTTTTGAGAAATGATGTACAAATGCGCTTTACACAATTGATGTGTGTATGGATTGGGATAACAGTTGTATGAGCCCCTAATAAAATGTTAAAAAAAAAAAAAAAAAAAGAAATGTTTGAATGTTAAAAAAAAAAAGAAAAAAAAGTGGAAAATGTTTTAATTCTCTAGTATAATAGCTACCTGTCTCTTCTGAGTAATTTGCTTAATGAACTTAACAGCTAATCAGTTATGGAACTAGGTAGGCCTTCTCACAATAAACCAAATCCATTACCTTATTTATTAAGCAGTAAGAACAGAGTTATGAGTCAGATCTTGGGAAATACCAATGGAAACACATGCTTTTATGTAATTGACACCTACAGAGCCTATAGAAAGTAACATTTTAAAAAATACCCACGACAAACTTTTAAGAATACAATGTAATACTAAAAGCAAAACTAAAACCTTCTAAAATTCCTTCTGTAATTATAAGTTAAACAAATTACTCAAATTTGTATTAAATTGGTACCCATAATGATCCATTTACTTTAGGTGCTCTATTTTGGATTTAAATAGTGGCATTTTCTATTTTTGAGTCCATGAAAGATTTCTGGCAGATTAACACAATTATACTGTATTAAACGCAAAGCTCTATCACTGAGATACACTAACAATACAAGAGAAAGCATCACAGCTTGAATTTAACTCCTTTCAAAGTGACAGTTTTCATGGGTTTATAAACCAAGAATCTGTAAAAGCTTATTTCTTAAAAAGAGTTAGTAATAAATATACTAGGAGCCAAATTATACTCTAAGTACCTTTTGCATGCTAGAAATAATCATAGTAAACTCAAGAGTTCACTCCAGTAGTTTTTGAAGTAATTGGTCTAGCTTTTCAAAACTAACCTTCTTATCAGTTAGACACATTTATATTGTCCATGAACAGTGGCAGTTCAGTGGTAAAATTTGCACTTTCCAAGCAAGAGACCTGGGTGTGACTGCTGGTCAATGCAGCTGAAGTATAGTTACCACCCCGTCAGTGGAAGAATATGTGTTGTTATGATGATGATCAGGCTTTGACAGGGCTTGCAGAGGCAAATCTTAGTGACTCCATACAACCAAGCAGACCCTGTCCCTGTGCGTTTTCAAGACTGTAATTCTTTATGGAAACAGAAAGTCTGGTCGTTCTCCTGAGGAGCTGGCTAGTGATTTCAAAATGCTGAGACCAATGCATAGCCACTATGCCATAGAATTGTTAAATGGCCATGACTCCATGCTAAAAATGACCAGCAAGAAAAGGCCTGGCAATCTATGTCTGAAAATCAGCTGATGAGAACTTTATGGACCACAACGCCATGAACTTGGAACAGGAACAGGGCGTGATGGTGTTTTGTTCTACTGTTCATGGGGTCATGGTGTTCATGGGGTCATGATAAGTAGGGGCCAATTTGATGGCAGTTAAACAGTGAAATTGCCCTCACAGTACACCTCTGCTTTGTAAAAATAACCCCTTACACTTTGCACATATTCTGAAAGTACAAAAGTTGATTTAAAACAAACAATAACAAAACCTACCTCAGTTGAGTTTATCTTTGGAGATAACGTGCAGGTCAACACATAATCGCCTATGTTCTGTGGATTTTGTTTCAGGAAGTTGTACATTGATTGAGCAGACTCAGGACTATCTAACTGAAGAATTGCCTTTGGAGAAGGAATAAAGGGTCAATTTTTTCCCCTTTCAATTTCAAATGTGATCACAAAAGGTTAATCCATATGTCAAAGTCAACACACAAAAAATTCTCAAAATGCCACAATAATAAAATAGTGATAATTTAAAAATAATAAATCTACAGCATAGGCACAGAATTCGTATGTGCTAGCTGTGATCTTCTTTTTCCATTCCATGAAACACAACTTCTAATGTAATAAATGGACTACATGAATCAGCAAGGGACATAACAAAGAAACTAGTAACTAGCTGATGGTTAACTAGGGACTTTTATGTATGAAGTAGATATTGTCTGAGGACCCGGGGTGGTACGAATTGTTAATAAGATTTGAGTCCACCTAGAGGGGTGACTGGGAAGAAAGGTTTGGTGATCTACTAAAAAGCACATAGCTTCACTCTGACACACATGGGATTGTTGTCACGAATTAAAACCAACTCAGCAACACCTACTAAACACTGCTAGCTACAAAACCAAATCCATCTTTACAGAGATTCAACAAAATTGAATTTGAATGGATTATACATGAAATAAATACTAACTGCAGAAATCCTAAAAACCAAAAACATATTATCAAGTTAATACCAACTCATAATGACTAATTCCACATAGGGTTTCTGAAACTGTAAATCTTTATGCAAACAGACAACCTCATCTTTCTTCCTCTAAGTGGCTGGAGATGGTTAGTGAGTAAAACAGATGAGTAATTCTTAGTTCTTTTAAAGGAAAGAAGCAAAATCATGAACTTGAGAAATGGTTATTTTATTATTCTTTGCATGTAACTAAACAAAGTTAATTTGCTTTATAGCTAAAAGGGACTTTAGAAAATACCTAACAATACTCTTTCTTAAAATTAATTGGTTAAAGTAAACAGAGCCAAGGTAACAAAGGTAACTAAGAAATATAAAATCTAGAGCTTAAGGTCTGAACTTCCAGGTTATATAATGTATAAATCATCTTTCTTGTTTATGTGAGTCTTATTTGGTCTTAAAAACTAGGACTTCTGAAGATGAAGACATCATTTCATCTTTCTTGTCAGAGTTCAGGAAAAAAATTATGTTCTATTAAAACTGTGCTAAACAAGTTGAATAAAGTTTATAAATTCTATAGCTCAGAAGTTGAACTGAAAGTTGCAGACCATACAAATACACAACTCAGCTACAGATTCACTAGGGAATACAACTTGGACCTGGTTACCTTGTTTTTATTACTCATGAATATGTGGTGATCCACTTTTCCAAACTGAAGGCCAATACAAAGTACACATTGAAGTCCATCCTCTGGTAAGTTATCAAGATGTACAAATCGATCGTAACTTTTTTCTATATTTGCCTATATACATTTTAAAGAGACAGCATAAAACAAAAACAGTTATAGAATCACAAACAAAAAAACAGATAAATTATAACCCACATGGAAGAAGCATACCAGCCTGTGCAATCATGAGGTGTAGACGGAAGTAACAGGCAACAAAAGACCAAAAATGAAACAACAAAAACATATTGTTGAGAACGAGGAGGGTCAGAGCAGAGACCCAAAACACCTCTAGACAAGAGGACATCCCCTCACAGAAGGATCACAAGGAAGGGATGCATCAACCAGGGAGCAGTAAAGCATTGATGAAACATATATTCCTCTGGTTCTTTGAGGCTTCCTTACCCCCCACTATCATGACTCCAACCCTGTCTTCCGGTTCTTATGAGACCGGAGCACATACCCGGGTATGGGTAAGAACTCACAATCTGCGGAATCCGGGTCAGATAAACCCCTCAAGGAACAGAAATGGAAGTAGCAATACCAAGAGAGTAGGGGTTAGAGGGCAGGAAGGGGGACCCGATCCCAATGATCAATGCATAACCCGCACAACACAGGGGAATGAACAACAGAAACATGGGTGAAGGGAGACAGCAGTCGATGTAAGATATGAAAACAATAATAATTTACAATTTATCATGGTATCACAAGGGAGAGGGGGCCCAGAAGAGCTGACACCAAAGGCTCAAATAAAAATATTTAGAAAATGAGGATGGCAACAAATGTACAAATATACAGATTAACAATAACTCAGTATCTCAGGTCTCCCGAAATGAAGAAAATGACTGTGTGGGTTAAAGATGGGGGGCTGGGGGGACCCACGGCGGCTTAATTTTATAATGAATTAATAAATACACTACAATAGGCATAATCTTTACTCTAGTAACATAATATGGAGCACAAATATCCTCAAACAAGGTATTGGTTTATTTCACCATTTAATATACACTCCAATGTAGATTAAAATTCTGGGAGAGACATTAACCTTAGAGACTACTCTAATACGACATTTCCTATTTATCCTTATTATGAGGATTCATCTGGTATTTCCATCATCTCATAATCTTATAATTTGTACTAACATTTTCAATTTCAACAAAAGCAAACGAACAAAAAGATTTTATATAAACAAATAGACAACAAAAAATAAACATCTCAATACACAACTTACCTCTGGGTCATTTTCTTTAATTACAGTTGTAAATATAGCTTCCTGAAAAAGCAAAGATAAAGGCTGAACTTGTAAAAACATTTTCATTTTATATTTTAATTAGTCAAGATTTATGATAAGCATCCAAGTATGTATTTATTTCATAAAATGAGCAGAAAAGTTATCTATCTGTTCTTCTAATTTTTACCTCATCCTATTTAATCCATATTTACCCTACACATACACCTTAATTCGTCCTTCTCCAAGTAAACTAAGATTAATGAGTAGTGCCACATGGGAAACATTCAGATTCAAAATAAGGAATAACTTTTAACTTTAAAGATAGTAAGAAAATTTAAAGGTCAAACAAAGATTAGCTAAGCAAAGCAGGGACAAGGAAAAGGTCAAAGGTAGCGTGAGAGAAACAAGGATGTGAAAGCTAGCACAGAAAAGGAATTTGGAAACTGCAATGGTTGACCTTAAAAGTTTTTCGCCAATACAGATGTATATAATACCACCGTAGCAATTAGGTTAGGTCTCAATAATCTTCAAGGCAAGGTCTTTTCAAATTACATCAATTCCAACATTTCTCTAGTAACACTACCTACTGGTTGCATGCCTCAGAGAGACACTGCAGAGTTCTAAATAAAATGATTTTGAATGTACAAAGCTTTAACTTTATGTCAGTCTCATGGCTGTGTAAAGAAAGGATTTGAGGGGGACAAAAAGGAAGGGGGGAAATTAGGTTTTACTTCAATATCCTTCAAGTTTTAATTTTTAAAGATACTTTATTGCAATTTTGCCGGAAGTTTACATAGCAAATTAACTTTCTATTCATATACATTTTGTTTTGTGACATAAACTGCCATTTCAATGTTTCCAGCTTGGGCAATAGGGAAAAAAAGACACTAAGTACATAAGAAGGAGCTTCAAAAACTTTGATGGAAAAAATGGAACTAAAAGATAATGGAACGTTCCCATGAAATTTTGAAGCACCTTGTTGAGAAAAAGTCTGTTCTCTGAAAACTGTTTTCAACTTCTTTTCTATCCAAACAGACATGAGTAGTAAGTGACTCTCAAACTGGAAAAGCAGACTGTTCCAGGGACAGGGAGCGGCGTCCTCCGCCTACGAAATGAACGTCAGATTTAAAATACTGCGCCACTTGAGACCAAGGGGTAACTGCAGTAGAAAAAAAAACACTTGTAGAGCATTTAACTATGTGGTAAATGGTCATTGTTTATGTGGTTTACTTCTTCATAACTTCATAAATATCCTATGAGGCAAATAATACTCTAGTTTACAGATGAAGAAGCAACAACTCAAAAAAGGGTAACCTTGTGAAGGTCATAAAGCTGGTAGCTAAGTATGAACTCCGCTGTTGGCTCTCTAGAGCTAATGCTTTTAAATCAAGGCTCTGTACTAGATACAGGTCAAAGAAAGTTTCAACAAGATTTGGTGATGGAGTTAGAAAGATTTTTTTTTACAAATAATGGCCTGAAAGATTTAGCAAAACTATTTTTAAAAAATGAAAGGGCATTTTATTGTAATCAAGAAAAGGAAAAGAGAAAAGATAAAGTACCATCAAGAAGAATGAGGGTTGGGGGAGAAGGTGGGTATAGCAGTGGAAGTGGGTAAAAGGGAGACGATGTCAAGGAGTCCATGAACAACAAGAATGTTTGAAACTGGTTGTGGTAGTCAGTTGTACATTCTATCTGACGTGATTTAAATTTGGAATGATATATGTATTGAACCCTAACTCGTAATAAAAAAAGAAATTTGAAAAAAAAAAAAAGAAAGAAATTTGATGATCTTATTATAGTAAACATGACAGAAAATCTACCACTTACCTCATCTTTTATATTTATGTTTTCAGTAACCATACTTATTGAGAGTTGAGTCCCATCCAGCGATATCGGGAAGCAGGTATAAAACTTGACCATAGAATCTCCAGATTTTCTACTTACTTCTATATAGGCCTTTTAAAGTAAAAATTATAATTAAAAAATTCCTTAACTTACTTTTTCTTAAAAACATTTAATACTCAGAGCAAGTAAATGAATGGGGGCACCTTCATATTTTAAAGATAAATTGTTATTACTGTCTTTCTACACATTATTATCCACATTTTGGTAAATAGCTTTGATAAAGGTGCCATTGCCTTCATTTAAATTCGTCCCTCCTTTCCACCTTTAAGTTATCTTTTGACAGGGCCTTACGTGGAGAGCAAATGTTCTGAGAATGATGAGGGCAATGAATGTACAAGTGCTTTACACAATTGATGTATGTATGGATTGTGATAAGAGTTATATGAGCCACTAATAAAACTATTTAAAAAAATTAACTTTTGTGGGTTTATTATTAAAATAAAGATCAGTATGTGGTTTTAAAAGTAAGACATTAATTATGTACTTATTACAGAAAACTCAGGACAAAAAGATAAACCCAGGTTGTTCTAAAGTAGTGAGAACATAATTTATTTGAGCCTCAAAATACTACAGAAATACTAGTAATACTATATAAAAATTTTTTTTACAGTTAAATAAGGCAATTTTAAAACTCTGCATTAAATACACTACAGGTTAAATGTACTACAGATATTAAACATTGGATATGAAACAAAATAAGAGAAAAATTTAAGGTAGTAAATTATTTCTCTTCATTAAATTTATGTCTGATTAAAGAGCAATACAAAAATAAAGGGTATGTGTTTTCTATTTTTTAAGTCCCTTAGCATAAAGCAGTTTACTTTTAGATGTAGCTTTTAAACTCTCTTTACTTTTGTGAATCTAATGTTGGTTTTCTCGCCCTTCACCCCCACCATGAATCTAGGTAACATAAAGTTATCATCAATCCTTACCTTTTTATGAGATGATAAAAGCAAAATATCATTCAAACCACCAAATGGTTTTGCTAGGTTGTAAATGTCTTCTATAGAATATCCTTTCAGAGGCAAATTAGACACAAGGACCACACACATTTCCTCTGTTTCCTATTACGAAAGAGGTTAAATGAATAAATTTGTCCTTAGCTACTATTACACAAGGAAGTTTCAAAAAGTTTGTGGAAATATTTCTGTATCTTTTAATTCCTTTTCCTGCAAATTTTTTAAATCCCCCTTATATTCACTGAAATTGCATCTAATGCTAATATATTTTAGAAGCTGAACTGAAACGCAAATAAAGCATAAACAAAATCCTTATGATTGGCACACGAATCATAAACTTTAATCCAGTAAAATATAAAATTTTAATAATTTCATAACATAAGCACAAGGAAATAATAAATCTTGTACCATTCATATATAATTGCAACCCTGCTCTTCTACAAGAACTAGTATTCTAAATACTAAAACATCTCCTACATAACTGTGACAATAGGAAAGATTACTCTTTTGTTGTTTTGACATGCTAGTAGTGTCGACCCAAACCCATTTTTTATATGTGAATCCTCAAGAGCATGCACATTTAATTGATAATCTATTCTTAAAATGTTGACACTCTGCTCTTCACGTTTTTTCAGCTGAAATCATAACCACTAAACTTTTTTATCATACCAAATCTTTTCTTACAAGAATATGCTTAATTCATAGTAATAAAAGTATGTAATGATTAAAGTGTTTAAGGTTTCAAAAAAGAAATTAAAATAGAAAAACTGACCTTACTAACTGGTTCTTGGTTTTCTGTAGCCCCCGAAGCAGCTGCTTAAGATATAAAATAACATTTCAAAAAAAAAACCAAAAAAGCATTTCATGCAGACATATTTCACTTATATATGACCTCAGCACTGCAATATACATGTGCACACATATATGAGTGACAACATAACGATTTACCTGTTTCCTTAAATTTTTCTTTCTGCTCACACACATCTAAGGACAAAAATAAATTTCTCAACTTACCTGAAACAATTTCTTTAATATTATTTTGTATGAGCTTGGCTTCCATGCCTGTTTTTAGATCAAAATTATCTGCATGAAATAGTCTTTTTAAGCATAGTATTAAAGTGCACTAAGACAAAGTTGGTTTAGTTTATCACTTTAGGTCTCTTTCTTAGGCTGACCTTACTTAAACCAATATAAAGCCAATACAAGTTTCTCTTTGAACAAAATAATTCCTTTGGATATTTCTAAAGCAATGATTTAGAAACACTTCAAATGTCTACCAAAGAAGAAAAGCACATAGAGAGCAACAGCATTTCAGGCTTACCTGGTGTAGGCTTGCTGGATTCTTTGCTTTTGACACTGGTAGCCTTTTTTACTTCTAGAGACTTCTTTCCACTAGATTTTGCTTTCAAAATAGAATTGTACAATTATCCCAGAGGTCTCATCAATCATTTAGCATGTTTCACACTAGTAAATAATTCAACTTCATTAAGTTTTCCATATATTCAGTTTCTATTTACTTTCACTAGTATTTACCAAAAGATTGAAATGCATATTTAAACTGATACACTTTTCATAGATAGCTATTACTTAGTCACAACTTTAACCCTCATGTGGTAATAACACCATAATCATATGCAAAAATTCATATTTTGAAATTTCTGAAAAGGTTGTTTTAAATTATAATTGTATGGAAAATACATTATTAATAAGGACGTCATGCTAGTTTCAAAATGCTACATTAATTTTAAATGGTGTTACACTTCTTTAAGGACAAAACACAGTTTCATAACATGGAAAAATCTTTTTGAATGAAAATAACAAACATTAAGAATTCCACTAGCTAGAGAAGGGAAAAGGAATAAATAGAAAAAAAGATTATAAGCAATTTTGAGGAGTAAAATGGCAGAGTGGCCTATTGTGTCCAACTATCAAGTGTTTTCTGCCAATAAGCCCAAGAATGTGCTTTTAATGGCAATGCAGTCTAAGACCAAATTACGTATCCCTTTACCAATAAAGTTCTATACATGCCAAGTCTTAAATATCGAAGTATCTAAATTCTTAAACATTTTATAGCTGCTACAAATGATTAAGCAATAAAGTATTTGAGTTTAAAACTTATTTTTGACATTATTTTCTTTAAGGTAAAATTAAGAATAAAGTTAGTAATTAGTCACTTTTGAATTTATTTCTATCCAGTCCTTGGTGACCCTCACTGTTTACTATAAATTGCTGGGAACTTTTCACCCTGTTCTTTTGAGGCATACGATGTCCTTCAGAGACACACCAGATAGATTCAATGTGGAAACGCCACTGAGAGAACTGGGCTTTACCTCAAACTCACCTGTAGCAGACTTAAAAGACCGACACGCGCCCTGGGACTTAAAGGCTGAATCGCTGTAACTATGAGCAGCAACAGATGACTGCTATCGCCAGGTTGCAGACTTGGTGGTCATTGGCCTTTGGTTTGGACCTATTGTTTCGAAAGTGCCCATGCAATGGTGGTCCAGAACTACCATTTATTTACTGTCTTAATGCACTCCGTGCTTTCCTGTCACATATATTAATCTGGTAGTCGTGGCTCTACTTTTATGAATGAGCCTTTGAAAGTTTTGCTTTATGGCCAACTCCCATTGTTCGTTTAGTGTCCAATTTGTGTTTACTCTGTACAAGTAAACAACTCGTGTTGAGGCCTAAAAAGTCAGTCTATATATGTAATTTCCTTTTCTCAAAGTGTATTAGGTTCTATACTATTGGGGAAATTAATGAAAATATCAATAAAATTATCTTATACCCCAGGGTATAAGTTGATTAGTTATAATGCTTCTAATTATGATACTAATGTCTCTAGAGTGAACCAGAGACATATATTTTTTTTGTTTCCAGTTTGTATTTTGTATGACTTTCTATATATAAAATCCATAATGTGTAACAACAGAAACGGTAACTGGGTTAAGAATTAGCAAGCGGTAACATACAATTTTCTTCTAGTTCTTTTAATGCTTCCTCCCCACCACGATCATGATAATAATTCTACCTTACAAATCCAGCTAGACCAGAGATTGTACACTGGTACAGATAAGAGCTGGAAACACAGGGAAGAATCCAGGACAGATAAACCACTCAAGACCAATAATGAGAGTAGTAATATCAGGAGGGTAAGGGTAAGGTGGAAGGAGAAAGGGGGAACCGATCACAATGATCTACATATAACCCCCTCCCTGTGGAACAGACAACAGAAAAGTGGGTGAAGGGAGACATCAGTTAGTATAAGATATGAAAAAAAAATTTATAAATTATCTAAGGTTTCATGAGGGAAGGAGGGTAGGGGAAAAAATGAGAAGCTGATACCAAGGGCTCAAATAGAAAGAAAATGTTTTGAAAACGATGATGGCAACAAATATACAAATGTGCTTGACATAATGGTTATATGTATGGATTGTGGTTAAGTGTTGTTTGTATGAGGCCTCAATAAAATGATTTAAAAGCTCAAACAGAATTACCTAGGGGTATGGAGGGGATATTGCAGGGAATAGGGTGACTACAACAAAGAAGAAGGAATATGTTCTGAAATTGATTGTGGTGATGATTTTTTACAATATGACTGAACAATTAAATTGCACTATATGTAAATTATATGGTAATAAAACTATTTTTAAAAAGAATACTTAATAAAACTCTTACCTGCTTTGATCGAAGCTTTATTACCTTTAGCAGATACTGCTACCACAGACTTTACAGAACTTGACAATTTCCCTAAATCACAAAAGCTGTAGTCAAAATGGTTTTAACTAGTATCAACAATCCCCAAAAAATCTCATAGAGAAGGAATACAAAAGCTACAGACTATAACTTAAACACTTTTGAGAGACTATAGAACTTTTTCTAAGTTTAGCAATGATAATAATTTCCTTAGGGGGAAAAATATGTCCTTGAATTAAGAATTCGTTTCCACATTGTAGTTCCTAAAAATAATGAAAGACAAGCTAAATACATATGTGAATTTGTGAACCAATTAGAAGCACCTTTATTATCTCCAAAAACATAAAAAGAATCCCATGCTGTTTTTAATGGCCCCAAAAGCCTATCTGCAGCCTCCCGAGGCCTATTTTCTCGATTCCTAGCGGTATGAAAAGAATTCATGAATATCTACACCTCATGGTCAGAACGCATGATAATTACTTTGACTCATTCCTAGTGGGGTTTACCTGAACAGGACTGTTTAAATAAATGACCCACATTTGTGTGTAAACATCTATTACTGATATTTCTTTTCTAAGACTATGCTATTTCCAAAGACCGAGGATCAGAACGTGTGTGGAAGGGATATGACTTGGTGATCTTTTCAGCCACATTCTGACGGTCGGTGTTTAGTTCGGGCACAATTCTTTAAACTACACAAAGACCCTGAATTGCTGCATGTTCGTGATCAGGACTAGTATGTAAAGAAAATAAACAGAGTGACTTGAATTAAAGAGAAGGTATGCAATCTAATATTCTTACTAAGAAACAATTCTGTCCAA